GCAGGGTGGGTGCGCGCGCGCGCGCGCGCGCGCGGGGGGGGGGAGCCCAAGGGGAGCCTGCGCGGCCATCTTGCAGCCGGGCAGACGGCGGGCCCGCGGCCGCAGCTCTGGAGGGAACGGGGCCGGGGTGCGGGCAGGAAGGCGGCGGCGGCGGCTGTGCCCGAGGGCCGCGCGGCCGCGGCCGGGGCTGGTCTCCAAGGGCCGGCATCCCCGACCGGTCCCGCGGCTCCAGGCCGCCTCTGCAGCCGGGGCTCCTGGCGTCGGAGCGCAGCTGCCGGACCCGGCGGCGCCGCCCTCGCAGGTGGCCCTGAGATGCGCTGTTTCCCCAGGTGTGCGGGACGCGGTCAGCCAGGACCATTTCCAAGGCGGCTTACCACCGCGGTGTGGTGATCGTGCAGTGCCCTGGCTGCAAAAACCGCCATATCATTGCGGACAACCTGGGCTGGTTCTCCGACTTGGACGGGAAAAGGTGAGCTGGCAGCCCGGAGCCTTCGGCCCTTTGCTTTTGTGCCCTGGCGGGCGGGCGGGCGCAAGCCGAGCCGGCCAGGTGAGTGCTCGAGGCTGGAGCGCTGGTTGTTCTCTGCCAGGCAGCGCCTCTTTCTTCGTGCCTTGAGGAGATGCTCCACGGGCAGAAATTCAGCAGGTGGAGCTTCGTGTTGGCTGTAGTTTCTCCTGCTCCAGTTCTGCCCACCAGGTGGCTCCTAAAGATGCAAGGGAGCTGCCAGGAGTAGAAAAGGTGGCAAGCCCCACCCGATTGTCCGGTAATTCCAGCCACCATCCTCCAGTCTGGTGCCCTCCATATAAGCCGCAGTACATGCTCGGCCAACGTGAACGCGACTCATAACGGAGTTGCTGCGTTGGGTTTGGACCGCTTAGTGACACGCCTCTTTGCTTTTGGTGAAGGAACATTGAGGAAATCCTGGCGGCTAGAGGGGAGGCAGTGAGGCGAGTTGCTGGCAAAGACGTGGTGGAGCTGCTGCGCAGTGACCCAGAGGTGGGGGGCCCCCCGGGCCCACACTCGGAAGCGGATGAGGCAGAAGAGACCAAAGGATAATGCAGTCGCCCTGGACTGGGACTCAAGGGGGAAGCCGCAGACTTTCTGCCTCTCAAAGAAAGATTTTGCTGGACTCTTCTCAAGCAAATCTTCCTCTCCCAAACTCCTGGCTTCCTGTTTCCTAACAATGCCTTTTGCAGCATGAAAGTAGGCATGCCTTGCCGTCAGTGGGGTTTGGGTTGTACAATTTAGGACAAGGGGTTGTGGGGTGTGGAGGAGGGGCTGGGTCTCCCTCAGCCTGAGGGCTGGCTTCCGTCTTGGAGGTGCGCTTGGCCAGGGCTGGCCCGAGTTACGTTGCTGCTTGGGGCAAAATGCAGGGTGGTTTCTGCACTGCCATTCTGTGTCCAGATGCCGACCAGACTGACAGGTGAACTTTCCTTCGACAGCATCATTGCATGGCCTCAGTGTTGTCTTCACTGTGGAAACACATTGAGAGCCGTGCAGGATCAGACTCAGGATCATAGAGTAGGTGAGTTGGCCCTTCTAGGACAACCAGTGCTCGGAGAAAGCCCCGAAGCCGGGCAAGAGTGCAAGAGCACTCTCCTGTCCATGTTCCCCAGTAAGTGGTGTCCCTTGCCATCCTGCTTCTGATGCTGGAGGGAGCCTGAAGCTGTCCAAACTTGTAACCGGTGGTCTCCTCCTCCTCCAGGCAAACTTAAGAAAAGCCCTGCTAGATCAGATGGATGACCTTCCTAGGCTGGCATTCTGGTCACGGTGGTCCACAGAGGACGGGGCTGCAGGAGCAGCCTCCAGCCTAGGCCCCTCCAGCACCTGGCTCTGCAGTCCAGCAGCATCTGCTGGAAGCCACTGCCCAGAACCTGGCCTGAGGGCACACAAGCCACCCACCCAGGTCTGGAGCCGGCCTGAGCTTAGCGGGGGACCACCTGAGAACCATGTGCGGCCACCTCGAATTCCACCATGGGAGAAAGATGGGATATAAATATAATAAACTGCTTCACTGCCTGCTGGGGGCTGAAAGCAAGAGGTGGGTCCTTGTCACTCTCCACGCTTCCCTTTACATAAAAGCTCTCTCTGCCAGTAGTGAAGCATCCAGAGAGGGATTGCGGGAATGCTGTACAAGGGCAGGGAAGCCACCGACGACCTGTATCTCAGAAAGGAGCTGTGCTCATCTGGAGAACCCCAGTGGCTCAGATTAGCACTCCAGGCAGCCTGGGTTTGGCGCATTTATATCTTGGATCCCACCACATCAATAGATGTGTAACTTGCAGGCCAGTGCATCGGGAGGGCATCCTGTCACGCAAGCCTGAGATCGAGCCCCCCCCCCCCACACACACACAGGTTGCTTCACCTCTGACACACTCGGGAACCACTGAAAATGGGGCGGGAGGGCGCTGCTCAAGAAAGGCAGTCCCCGTGTTCCTCCCAGAGCCTCGTATTCAGGAAAGGGTCGCCGGAGCTGCCTTGCCTGGGCTGTGTGCCAGGTGACCCCGTTCCGTCCAAGCTCTGCTCTGCCAGTTCAGCCCTGGCAGCCCCCCGCCCCAGCCTCCTGTGGTGTCAGATTTCCCTCTGCCACAGCCAGCCGGCGGCAGTCGTGCTGCAAAAATGGGATGGCTTGGGGAGAGGCTGAGCTTGGCGGCCGCCCTTCAGAGTGAAGAGCCCCAGGAGAAAGGGGGCTGACCCTGCAGAGCACCGCAGGCTGGAGAGCAGAAGCGCTGAGGCTTTGGCCGGAGGGCAGTCAGTGGCATCTTCCTCCTGTAAGGCCGTCCCTCTGCTGGGTGCACCCAAGCACAGCACGAAAGGTCAGAGAGAGGCATGCAGACAGCTCAGGTTTTGGATGGGAAACTAGCTGAGCTGACCCTGTTGGGAGACCCCCCCCGAGACAAATCCCCTCATGCCAGCTCGCTTTTTCAGGGTTGGCAAGGTGGGTCCCCTCTCAGCAAGGCCGCCTGCCCACCACCAATAAGGCTGCCCTCCTGGCTCGGGCTTGCTTGCTTGCCAGGCAAGGAGTCAGTGGCCAGGTGGCCAGAGCATCACCTGTGCCTGAACCGCAGTGACAGGTGGGTGACCCAGCAAGGCTGGAATGGAGAAGAACCACGTCCAGGGGTTTGCACCCAGGTGTCCCTGCCGGCCCTCGGCGGGTGCCCAGCTATACCGACTCTTGCTGCGGACCGCTGGGTGCCAGAATTGGAGGGAGCTGCCTGCCTGCCTGCCTGCAGTTTTGGAGAAGCCCAGTAGGGCTTGGCAGCCCAAGAGTGGAGCCGATTTCTTCCTAAACTTGGATCACAGAGATAGCCATGCAGGTGGAGGAATGAAAGAAATGCCTGAGGCTGTGAAAGACAGATGAAGAGTGGATGTCATGAGCGGAGCCAGCTGGAGTTGGGGGTCAGACTAGATGGCCCGGGAGATCCCTTCTGACTTGCTCAGTTTCTAAGAGCTTACTGGAAAAAAAAAAAATCTTGCCACAACTGCCCAGCAGATGGTAAGAGGTGAAGTGGCAGGCTCTTGCGAAGACACCCGTTGTGATTTCAAAATGTACTAATTGTTGGGGCCAGACCCCCGCAGTGCAGGGAAGGGGCAGCTACTTCTCTGCAACAACCATGGCCTGAGTACCCCTTCCAGAGGGGGTGTATTGCAATTCCCATCATCTCCATCCAGCACGGGGGAGGCTGATCTGGGGGATTGCTGTTGCCCCAAGCCTTTCTAATCCCTTCCCTAGCCCTGTGTTTGTACCAAGACTGGTTAAAAGTAGCCCAGAATCCTCTGGACAGGGGAGAAAATAACACTTGAAAGAGATTGGCTCACAAAATGTTTTATTAATCAGCCCCATTCTCTCCCCATCTCCGTATATGAATTTATTTGGCAGCTCTTTGATTTCCTCTTGTTGACTTTGTTTCAGCAGTGGGGGAGACGCACCTTGCAGATCAAGGCCTTCCCTCCCCACCAGCAGAACAAGACACCTTGAACACGCTTAAGAAATAAATAAATTAGCAGATACATTCAAGTATGTGGGCAGCCATCTCCTCCCGTCACACAGTGGCCCGGTTCCCGTCCACGTCGTCCTCGCTTCCCGGGAGTGCGGCGATGGGGCTGCGCCCCCCGCGGCAGCCCACTTCCTTAGATAGCCCACTCGCCTGGGCCTCCTCACACGAGGAATCAGGCCACCTTCCCCCCTCAGCCCTCCCACTTTGGAGGGGCAGGTGGATCAGGGCACTGGCGCGCACGCCTCCGTCACCGCTCCACCCTGAAATCGCCCCGGCCGCTGCCCACGAGCCACGGGCACCAACTTCCTTCTGCAGCCTTTCCGGGGCTCCGGTCCTGCCCCCGCCACTGGCAGGCACTTTTGGCTTGTGACTGGGGCAGGACACCGGTGCTGCTGGCGATGCACAAGCGGGCCCAGGGCTGGAGAGGAGGTGGGGCTGGCAGGAGGGAGGGCCTCTGCCACGGGACCCTCCGTTTGGCAGGCGCTAAGCGTGGGCGGCAGGGGGCACCTTGTGGATGCGTCCTTGGCCCGAGATCTGCCCCCCCCCCCCGCTGCTTGGCTGCAGCCTGCACTTAGCGCAGGCCAGCCCCGGCCCCCTCCAGGCAGCCCTTCCACGGGGAGGGGAGGGGAGGGGGCTGGCGTGGCGTGGCCTGGTGTGGCAGAGCCCCGGGCGCACAGGGTGTTGTGCCACCCAGTGCAGGGGCCGCCCCCTGGCTGTTCCCTCCGCCTCCTCCCATTGGCACCAAGGGCAACTGCCTCTTTGGCCGGGGGCGAGATGGCCCTTCTTCCCCCACAGAAGCCCCTGGCCCCAGGGCGGACCTTCAGGAGGAAGGGGCCGCTGGCTGCCAGGAGCAGGGCTCTGCTCCCAGCAGGCGCACCCTCCGGATTTGGGGAGTCTCCCCCCATGCCCAGTGCAGCAAGGGATTCCCGAATCTCCGAAGGGCCCCCTTGGCCCAGCCAGGGGTACAGATCCTCTTCCGCCCTCTGGCTGAATGCATGCCAGAGAAATTTGGAGGGGCCATTTGGGGGGTGGAGCCACAGGAAAGATACCTGGCCCTTCCAGCGTAAAGACCCTCCTGCCAGCATCCAGGTCTTTGGAGGGGCATTTCAGGCTTTGCGAAGGAGGGGGAATCCCCCAAAGCCAAAGACCTCGCAAGGAAAAGTGGGGGGAGCAGCAGGGCAGGGCTTGGGATTCCCCAGCCCATCTGGACGCATCCGTGCATCTTCTCGTGAATACAAATGTTCCGGCTACCCGGATCAGCCTTCTCCATCTGGTGATTTCTCTATGTGGGATTGCGACTCCCAGCATCCCCAGGAGTCTTAGTTCAGCATACTTGGAAAGCACCAGCCTGGGGAAGGCTCTGGTCCAAGGCGGCAAAAGGAAGTGCCACCTCCCAAGTGCCACCATGTCCCCCCGCCACACACACACAGATTAAAAGCACATTAGAGCCGAACGCTTGGCCCCTTACATGAAGTATTTTAAATCAAAATCCCTTTTACTGGCAACTAACGACAGGAATTGGAACCCGTGGAACCTGGTACCAAGGGGGGATGGCGTAAGGTGCTAGTCCTCAGCTGCAGCAAGTGTGTCAGTCAGCCCCCGCCCCCGGCCGAGCGGCCCTGGGGGGTTCCCCCTCCTCTCTCCTCTTGCTTCCCCACCCCGTCCCCTCACAGGCGCAGATCCCACATCTCCCAGGTAACACCCAGGCATCACACATGTTGGCGAAGCATGAGATTTGCGTATGCAATGAGCGGCTCCTTCGAGCTCGGAGGTGGTGCTCGCTTGGCACAGAGGGGCGCTCGGTGCAGGGGCACCGCTTGGCCTGCCCAGAAGCTGCGGCTTGGCTGCCCCTGCTCCCACGGCTGGGCTCCCCGCTTCCGGGCGCCAGCTCCTCGGCAGCCCATGTGCGGCTCTTCTCTGGCCCCGGCTTAGGAGTCGCCCCCGGCCCTGCCAAGGTGGGCGCACCCTGGCTTGGCACGGCTCTTCCAGCGGGGGCCGCCCAGCACGTTCGGGCAGCATTCGCTCCCAGGCACCCTCGAGCGTGGACGCACCCTTCGCAGCTCTCGGGGTGAAACACCATCGATCGGAGGATGCCCTGCACTCGCTCCCCGTCCAGGTGCGCCCATCGCCGCAATGGGGCTCTTCCCGCACCTTTCTGGTGCAGCGCCGTTGCTTCCAAACTGGGCTGGGCTGTTGGGCCGCGGGAAAGAGAACGCCTCCTTTCTCAAAAAGGTCCCGCGTCTCCCCGCCTCGCCGCTGCCCTGGGTCACCGAGGCCTCTCTGAGGATGGCGAGATGCAGGCACACCTGCTGGCTCCTGCCTCCCCCTCCAGGGGGAACGGGTGAGAAAGGGGGGAAGTGCTCCTAGGAATGCTGAGCGCATCCGGGCCTGGTCCTTCGGGGGTGGCACGCCAGGCCCTCCCCTCTCCCTGCACGGAGGCCTTAGCTGAAGCTGGGTCTCTGCTGCTGATCAGGTGCCTGCTCCCCGCCCTCCGCCTCCCCGCCCTCCTCCTCCTCCTCCTGTGCTGAGGCCAGATCCACCCTCTGCTCATCCATGCGCTTGGCTTGGACCCGCTGGATGAGGCTGAAGAAGTCCTCGTCCGGCACGGTGGGGCCGCGGGGGACTGAGTTCGGCGGAGCACAGCGCTGGTCGTCGATTCGGGATGACTGCGGAGGAGCAAAAGGGGAGACGGAAAATAAGTGTTCCAGGGAAGGGCGCTTAACTGTGATAAACGGGGCAGGGAGAGAGAGAACGGGTGGCCGGACCGATCCCCGAGAGGGTGTCACCTGCCAGCATGGAGGCCCTGGAGGGAGTCAGGGCAGGGGGCTGCCTGTTTCTGGCACGTCACAGGATCTGGGTCCTGGTTTGCGACCCCGAGCGTTCAGCGGGTAAGGGGGCGTGCCCAGCATACCTGGCATTTCATGAGCATGTTGAAAAACTCATCGCCCGGCTCCTGAGCGTCACCTGGTTCCTTGCGCAGGTGGTCCAGGTTGTTGTGCGTGATGCGCAGGCCTGGCAGGTTCCCCACGCTGGCCCGCTGGTCGTCGAGCCGCCGGCTCTGGGAGCTGGCGATGAGGTCGAAGAGCTCCTCAGTCTGTGGAGAGGCCACGGACAAAGACTGGGCTGGGGGCAAGAGCGACATGGTTAGGATCCAGCCGATGCTGCGCCAGGCGACGGTGGCAGCCGTTGCGGGAAGGACGTGGCCACCTGCCTGCTCAGAGGACTTTTTGTGGAAATGCGATCACAGGGACAGGCAGTGCCGGGTTAGGGGCGAGGAAATGGAAATTCGTCTTTTAGTCAAATTTGTGTGCAAGTTGGCTCATGTACAGTTGGCCCTCCACATTCAGGGGGGTTGGGCCACAGGCCCCTGTGAAAGTGGGGAAAACACGAATGCCTCTACCTGGCACTGGGTGAGGGGGCTCCTCTTTTTGGCACTCACTTTTGAAAATGGATAGGCCCCACGGCAACTTGTTCGTAAGTGGGGGCTGCCTGGACGCTCTACTGGTGGAATTCCGCACGTCCAAGGCTGCGCCCGTGGGGACCAGGTACCCCCAAATACCTTCCTTCTGCCTTGCCTGGATTTGCTTCTCCTGCTAATATGTACTTAATATGCAAAGATTTTCATAATGATCACACGTCTTCGCTACACCAGGGAGGCTGTTCCGCGGCCCAGCAAAGCCATGCCCTTCCCGCACCCCCATGACTTGACGGGATCGGCTTTGCGTGCAGGAGCTCCGTCCCCACCTCTGCCTTGGAGAAAGGCACGTGGGGAAGTGGCTTTCTTTGGAGCCCCCCCCCTCTTTGCCTTCTGAAAAACAAGTGCTTGGAAACTGGCCACGCCCACCCATCATGGCAGCCATTTTGTGCGAGTGCCCGCGACACTCCCCTACAATTTGAGGCACCCCCGCCAACCGAAAAGGGTTGAGGTGCTTGCCCGCGCCGGAAAGGATGCCGGGCGTCGTGGCATGCCTCGAGACACGTTGCCAGACGGGAGTGGTGCCGGGAGCTGTGGGGGGAGAGCTGTGCGCCCGGCTGAGCCGCCCTCCCGCCCAGAACAGCGGGGCTCCGTGGGAAGAGGCAAGAGCATCCAGCGATGCTCAGAGCGCACCAGAGGTGGAGCTGATCTTTGGAAACAGGCAAGACCGGTCCCTCGCGCTATTGTTAGGAGCGAAAAGGCCCCCGCTGCCTCGGAGCCCGGCCGCCCTCCTTGTCATAACACGGCCTGGCCTTTTCAGCATCTCCTCCTGCCGCTTCACAGCTCGGCTGTTCCCTTGGCAGCCGCCTGGCATCGCTTGCGTCAGGGCTTTGTCGCTGGGCCAGAAAGTGCTCCCTCTTGCATGGCTTAACCCCCCCCCCACCAAACACACCTCAACATGAATTCTGATTTAAGGAAAGGGAGGGTGTTTGTTTATTCTTTTAATATAAGTATCTCCTGCTTTTTTCTCCACAAGGAACCAAAAGCAGGCTTACCCAATCCTCCCCCTTTCCAGCCTGACTTCACAACAGCCCTGCGAGGCGGAGAGTCAGTGCCTGGCCCAAACTGGAGCATGGCACATTTAAGGAAACGTGGCCCCAAAGCACCCCAGGGCACCCCAGAAAACTCACACAGCCTCTCCTCCAGAACAGGTGTGTGCGTGGCAGCCGCTTCATCCAGCTCCTTTTGGGACTCGTCCAGCGTGCAGCGCTGGTCATCCATTCGGTTGCTCTGGAATTTGCTCAACAGGTCAAAGAAGCACTCTTCCTCCAAAGGGACCCGCTTGATTTTCTGTGAAGAAGAAGAAACGCTTTCCATTATTTTCTGGTTATATCTTCAAATATAACAGATAAAATCAAAACTGGACTGTAAGATCTTCCCCCACATCTCATGGCTCTGCTTTCTTCAAAATAAGATGGTGGAGATGCCTTGTCTCAAGTCCTAATTTCCAGTGTATTAAAGAACTCCCTTTGGAACCAGTTTGACTAATTACTTAAATAATTGCCTGCAATAAAGATATTTTGCATAAGAAAGGGGCACAGGAAGCCTTAAGGTGTAACTCTAATTAAATCTGCAGAAGTTTTACTGGCTGGGTTTAATTGAGAGAGTCTTTGAAGGTCTTCCACATCAACGTGTCAGTGGCAACACCTGTTGTTCAACTGAAGGTTTAGGGCTCTATTTAGTTTAGTATTCTACGGTTAGTCTTAATGTTATTTGAGGCAGAGCCGTGCTGGTGGTATGAAGCATTTCCTAAACGAGGCGATCCAGAATGAAGAAAAGCCTCAAGGCACAGTCCGTGTTCCTGGAATCTGGCTGGAAGTCCCCCCCCCCCCGAGGCCCTGGCTCCCGCGGGGCAGAAACCCACCCGAGCGCGGTCTCGGCGCGGCTGAGGCTGCGCGCTCCCCGGGGGGCCCGACCCCGGCCCGCTTCTCCCGGTGCAGAGCAGCCGGCCCCGGCTTCGCTTCGGCAGCTGCCGCGCGAGCCCCGCCCACCGCCCCTGCGGCCACGCCCCCTGCCCCTGCCCCGCCCCTTTCCAGAGGAAGCGGGGAAGTGCCGGTCCGGCGAGGAGGCGCCTGCTGCGCGGGCAAAGCACCGGCCTTCTGCGAGGAGCCTGTGGGCGACCCCCGCCTCCCTCGGGGAGGCCTCCACGCCGCAAGCGCCCCATGCAGCCGCGGCTTTGGATTCCCCGTGGGGCGTTTTCAGGGGGCTGGGGGTGGATGGCAGGCCCGCCGCTGTCAGCACAGTGGGTCTGGTTGGAATCTGGACCCAGCCCAGGAAGAATTTTTAGGAAGCCCCAAGAGCGCCCGCATAATTTTCTGGGGTGTTTACCAGCATTTCTGATAGGGCTGCATTTAAAGGAGGCAACTGAAGATGCCCTGCAGAGCCAGAAGGCGGCTGGTGCAGCCGGCACCCCAATGCTTTCCAAAGGCCCCTTAAGGCAGCTGGTAAAACTATCCCCATATTGTGGGTGGGGACAGGGTCACAGCCGGACTCTGGATGGGGCCTTCCGCCTGTGGAGTTCTGGCCCAACCGGGGGCCCTCCAGATGTGCTGGACCCTTCCGGACCAGCATGGCTGGAGTTGTAGTCCCAGTACATCTGGTGGTCACTGGGGTAGAACGGTGGACTGGAGCCCTCCCAGGCCAGGCTCCGGGGAGTCCAGGGGGGGTAGGTGCCCCCTCCCCGCCCCCAGCAGCACAGGACAGACCATGTGCTTCGCAGGCAGGAGTGGGCAGTGGGGTGGTGGGCACCAAAGGGGGCCCCCAACCAAGCAAAGGAGGCCTCCTGCAAGGGAAGAGCAGTGCCACCGCTTGGCACGCAGAAGGCCCCCAGTTCAGCCTCCACCGGCATCGTCCGCCTGCAGCCCCCGAGACCCACAACCTGACACAGTATATGGCAGCTTCTCGGGTAAGTTGCTCTGCACATGGTCAGAGGCACTTGCACTTGCTTGCTGGGGGGGGGGGGGAGGGCAGAGCCCCTGTATTGCATACAGAAGGTCTCAAGTTCTGTCTCCAGTAGGGATGGCAAAGCTCCTCCCTGAAGTCCTGGAAAGCGGTTGCTGCAGTTAGTGCCACAAATACCAGGCTAGGTGGGCCAAGGCTTTGACTCCACTTCCCTTTATAGCGGCCCCTTTACTGGAACCAGGAGGACTAGAATCTCACTTTGTTGTTAGGCCAAATGGTTAAGGCTCAGGAGAAGTGCTCTTGCTCTTCATGCAGACGCCCCCCGCAGGACTTGCATACAGCCCCTCCGCCTTGTTGGGGAGGCTCCCCTTCCCCCCTCCAGGGGGGACTTTGCCCCAGGCTGCCCATCCTCTGTCCCGGCAGGGCAGCAGAGCAGTCACCTTGAATGGCGGCTGAGGGGGAACTCGTGAGTGGTACCAGTGGAGTTAATTCCACAGCTCGGAGAAGGAGGGAAAATAATTCACCTCCTCCTTAGCAAAGTCGCCGAGAGATGCACACACTTGGCTTCTATTTCCAGCAGCGTCAAAATTAGCAACCCGGGCGGAGCGTTCCAGCCCTGATCAGCCTGGTCGGGAGGGGAATTAAAAAAGAGGGCAGAACCTTCTCCTTCTCACCAGCCGAGTGGCCATCTGCCAGCTGAGCTGTTTCCCCAAATCCCACAAAAGGATGTGCGAGGGGAAGAAACGCACGAAAGCCACAACAGCAAGCGCGGGACGCGGGCTCCGTGGCACCGGCTGCAGCCTCCCGGTGCGGCTGAGTCCCGTCTCTTTCGGCAGCTTCCATACTGCCTCCTCCACCCTGCAAAACTGGGGCTGGAAGGCAAGGGATTTCCACCATTTATTGACCTACTCTTGCGCATAGGTGCAAATCAAAAGTGGGACTGGGATGGACTCTTAAGCGTGAAACACCCAAGAGCAAAGTCATGCATCATGCCGAGAAACTGGCTGGCAGGTGAGGCTACGCAGCCCCGTGCGGGGGCCCCTCTGACCGCTCCAGAGGCAGGTACCGCCATGCCAGCTCGACATGGAGCAAAGCCGGAAGAGCACCCGGAAGCTTCCATTGGTGCGAAGGGGCAGCCCAGCTGCTAACCGCAGCATGTGCGCATGATCACATCCCTTTCTCGGTCCCGTGCAAGGGCTGCACCACCCTTTCTGGCTCTAAACAGGCCCGGCTATCTGAGGAACTGCCTTTCTTGGCATAAGCCTGCAGGAAGGGACCCCTGGAAGATGCCCTCCTGTCGGGCGACGCTCCCTGCAGACTCCGCAGCTTTGAGGCTGTGTCCAGTCCCTGCTCTCCCTGCATTCAGGGAGGAGGGTCGGGACGCATCTTTTCAGCGTGGCTTTTGAAATGGCTCGTAGGGTTTGGGGATTGCTTTTAATGTTTTATGATGCCTTGGATTCCAATTTTTATTTTCTGACCGTGAATGGCCTTTGTTGGCTTTGCAAAGCCAGTCAGGGATTCTTCTTCCATTTAAATACTCGCCAATATAAAGAGGCCCTTTCATGTAGCACATCAGGGAAGAGAGTGTGAATGCGGCTTCTCCCTGACCCTCTACATGTGAGGAGTCTTTCTTGTACCATTTTAAAAACACTATGGGAGAGTATTTTTTAAAATTCTGATTGCTGTCTCTTCCCCAATGTTCTACATGCTTTGCAAACCTGGGTGACCTTGCTGGGTTCTTAACACAGGGCATCGTCTGTTACGGGCTGCTGCAGTTGTAACTTCTGTGATGCATGGAAGGAGAACCAAACCCAATTGATCAAATTTATGAGATTATTCTTGCTCCCCACCTGCACGCTATGCTGAGGCATAAGAAGCAGAACCTGTTTTCTGAATGCCATTATCTCCACTTACTTTGTATGAAAACAATGAAAGGTCATGGAAGAAAATGGGCCCTTTGTGTTCCACGAGACCTTCCGATGTTGTATTCCCCAAATATGATCAGTCACTTCCATCATTAACAGAACAGGCGCCTTTTATGTGGCCCATCTGTGACCCTGGGGGAGACAAGCCCCACCTAAACTCAGCCCCACGAAAACCGGATCAGGTCTGACTTGCCCGGAAGCTTTTCTCAGGGAAAACAGCACTGCCGTCCCACCGTGTGCCCTCTGCAGGGTGCGCAGCCTGCCTCAGATGCCCGGGCATGCAAAGAAAAGTGCAGAGAATGACAAGAAATTGGGCCACCTTCCTATTGCGCAACCCCCCCTGGCCCCACCCAAGAAGAGGCCGTCACCTTGAGGCATGATTGTGGAGAGGGGTTGTCGTAGATCAGGGTTCCCATTCTGAAAGAAGGAAATGGCTTCCCTTAGAGCCGAGTTGCCAGCAGAAAATGATTTCTGCTCAAACGGACAGGTGTCTTTGGCCTTTCCCCTCTTGCTGGGGCCTTGTGCACGTCTGGAATGTGCCCCCCCCCCCCCAGGAACCTTTTCAGAACAGAGTTCAGCTTCTGGGGCAAAAGAGGTTCAACTCTTGTGGCAGAAGCTGATGTTTCTGACTCTTCACCCTCAGGGGTAACTTCCTTGCAGACTGGAACAGGGAGTGGGTGCCAGGGTGGGGGTCCTTGCAGATTCTGGCCTGCAACAAGGGAGTTAAACCAGTGGTTCAACAAATGCTCACAGCAGGCACTGAACACGGAGCCAGGCAGGTGCGACTGCTGGAACGCCTTCCCAGCGGTGCAGATTGCGGGGCCCTGGCGGCCCAAGTCTAGGATCGGCCGATGGTGTGGGCCGCAGCAAGCAGGCCATCCCTGGGTGGGAGCTCACTGCTGAAGCATCCGTTCTGCTTCTCTTTTAAAAAAGCGTGTGAAGTCTACAGCCAGGGCAAGGACCCCTTTGTGCCAGGGGGGCGGGGGCGGATTTGGCAGAGGAAAGGAGCTCATGGGGGAGGCACAGTCCAGGCCTCACAGACCACAGGCTGGGCATTCCTGCTGTCAAGAGGCAGCAATCCAGAGCCTCTTCCAAAGACCAACCTGCTCTAAGAAATGTGCCCTTGGTTACTTCTTGGGGCAAGCGAGGTTTCAGATGCGCTGGCTGACCGACTCCAAAACTCTGGAGACCTCTGGCTGACTCTGCCTTGGCTATTCCTGAAACTTCTGAGGGTGCCCATATGGGAGGCGCAGCTGGTCGGGCCACCTCTTCTGCCCTTGGAGCGCAAGGTGGGGCTCACAGCTGCCACCCCCATGGTGCCCAGGAAGGCTGGCTCCCTGGCCAAAACAGGGACCCCCAGAATCAGCTGGAAGTCATCAGATATGCCTGCTTGCAAGTCAGGTTTAGGGCCAGCCTGGGGTTATGACTGAGGTGATGACCCAGGAGCAAGGCCTATGTAGCTCT